TATTTTTTTTTATTTTTTATTTTTTTGCAGAACCAGGAATTGAACTCAGGTCCTTGTGCTTGCCAGGGAAGCACTTATTACACTGAGGCATCTCCCTGGCCTTTTTTAAAAATCTATTATTTTAAATCCCTAAACTTCTGTTATAATACTAATTCTGAAATTATTATTAGTTACAGAAACTTATTTTTTTTAAAAAACTCAAAGGATTTCGTGTATTATCTGAGAAAGCATCATAATATTGTGAGAACACCTTACAGATATGTGTCAGTTAATAGTACCCATAAACATACAGAACATGCCAAATATTTCAAGGAAAAAAAAACCCTTATATGCTGTCAGAATTTGTCCTAAATATTACAGATTAAGTCATTTTAATTTCACACATTTAAGATATCTGACCTACAACTCAGTAAATATAAAACTGGCATGAAATCCATTACATAATTCCCTATCCACTATTCCCTATCCACCTTTCCTCTATACCACCACAATAAACAAAACCCAAATATCACATATTTGGGGTACTGGGGATGGAACGCAAGGCCTTTCCATTGAGCCACATCCTCAGCCTTTAAAAAAAAAAAAAAAAAATCAGGAGATAGGGTTTCCATTTGTCTGCTTTCCCATTGTTAGACACAATACCCCACAGCCCCAATTTGAAGGAGAGGTTTAGTTTGGCTTACAATAGTAAAGGCATTCAGTCCATGATCATCTGGCTCCAAAGCAGAAATACGGCAGAAAGGCATGGTGGAGCAAAACTGCTTTGTGCAGGAAGGCCTGGAAGCAGAGCAGGGGAATAGGGCCAGAGAAAGGAGCAAGGGACAGATAAGGATCCCAAGGCCACGCCTTCTTGACCCACCCAGACACACCCAGAAGTGTGTTCCCCTGAAAGCAGATCCCAGAGCCAATCAAGTTAATTCTCCAACCTAACAGCCACATTTGGTCAATCACTAAATTGCCCAACCTGGGCTTGAATTTGTAATTCTATTGCCTGCCACAGCTTCTCAGAGGGCTAAGATTTAAAATATCACTTTTAACACTAAAAAGCATAGGAAATATCCCAAGTTTGATTCTTAGTATCAAAAAATTAATTAATTAATTAAAATCATAAGAAATTTGAATCTGTAATACCAGCTACTCTGGAGGCTGAAGCAGGAGAACATCAAGTTCAAGGCCAACCTTAGCAATTCAGTGAAACCCTGCCTCTCTGTAAAAAAAAAAAAATTTAGGGCTAGAAATGTACTTCAGGGATAGAGCTATTTTGTAGTATACAAACAGCCTGGGTGCAATCATTGATATTGAGAAAAGTTACAGGAAACTTGAGAACAGATTTTTTTTTTTTAAAGATATGGAATGCTTCACAAACTTGCATGTCATCCTTGCACAGGGGCCAGTTACATTTTCTCTGTATTGTTCCAACTTGGGTACACTGCTGCCAAAGTGAGCACTGGACTTAGTTAAGTCAAAAAAGTAATTCAAGCACACTACACTTTATAAATGTTTGGACATATTAAAATAACCAGCAAAAGCCAAGAAGTTTGCAAATTCAACATTCTGAAGCAAAAGGGGGAGATTTAAAACTTTATTAATGTATCAGTGTAGGATAAGTTGATTTTTGAAAAACTGCCTATGAGATGTCAAAAGAATTTCTCTTACAAATCCTGAGCATCGTGGCATATGCCCTGTAATCCCAGCATTTAGAAGGCTGAGGCGAGAGGATAGCTATAGGTTCAAGGTCAGTTTGGTCTACACAGCGAATTCAAGGGTGGCCTGAACATAACAAGGCCCTGCTTCAAGAAGAAGGAAAAAGAAATTAGGTAACCATGTATCCATAAGCTATCAGTAGAGACTTTATTATCCTACCATTCCCTCAAAACTCTGAGTTTTTATTCTCTGCTATGCATGGATTAAACCCAGGGCCTGGTAGGCCAGTGTTTATATTTCCAACCCCTCACTACTTTACAAAGCCAGTAAAACATCTTTAGAGAAATCTGAATTAAAAAACAAAACACAGGTGCCCCATCTAGCATGGGGAGAGCACCTAATATCAAGATTATATTGGGGGCCGGGGCGATGGCTCAGTGGAATAAGCGCTTCCCTGGCAAGCGCAAGGACCTGAGTTCAATTCCCAGTTCTGCCAAAAAATAAAATAAGTAAATAAATAAAATAAAATTATCTGTAAAAAAAAAAAAAGATTATATTGATGGGGACCACTCAGGAACAGGCCACCTCCAATGCTGCAGTATACACTGGGTAACCAACTTTAGCTGTGCTTAGTTTCCCTAGGGCTGTCCAGGGACAGGGTCTGGGCTTGAGCACACAGACCTAGGCTGACCCAGGTAGCCCCAGCACAGGGCAGTTGGTCCCACTCTGTCTGGAGAGGCCCAGCTTGTCAGGCTGTAACATTTCCAGATCTTCCTGGTATGTTACATCCAGGCTACCTCCAAAATTGCATCCTACTAAACATGGGATGCTTGGTCATCACTGCCTCTTGACTCCTAGTAGTTTTGTGTCTGCCATCATGGGAAGATTCCTCCTCCCCAGAGCTGTGAGACCCTCCCCCACCTTTCCCCAGCCCGAAGCTAAAGGATATTTAGATACCACTCAGATACCTTCCACAAAGCATTTATTGCAGCAAAGGGCAATGGAGTTCTGCCAGTAACAAGAAAATTGGCATGGTAGAATTGGCTGAATTGGACCCCCTGCTGACAGGAAAAAGGCAAGCCAGTAATTGCCAACACAGGCGAAAGACCAAACACAATTCATACTTTAGGCAGAAGAGGAGATGCCAGTGCTGGCACACCTGCCACACTATAGAGTTCCTTTGTAAGATTCAAGAACATGGTAGGGTTATCCCAGATGATATGCTTCCTGACTAGATGGAGGACATGGTCACACATGACCTGTGTATGTCCTTTTAGATTTGCTTCAAGAGCATCTTTCACATGGATCTGGAAACTAGTAAAACCTGGCCCCATCTCTTTGGTTTCCTAAGTTTGACCATGTATTTAGGTACTTTATGGCATTCATCAGGAAAAGGTACTTTGGGGGATGTCCTTTTGGCATGCAGTGCTGTCTTAGTTCTGGATTTTCCATATTTTTTACTGTCATTCAGGAAAAGTTTCATGGACGACTTTTTTCCAAATTGGACTATTCTGGGATTGCTCTACTGATTGTAGGAAGCTTTGTCTCCTGGTTCTATTACTTCTTCCTACCTCCCACAGCCTAGGCTCATCTACCTCTCCATAGTTGTTTCCTGGGCATTCTGCCATCACTGTGGCCCAGTGGGACCAGTGTGCCACCCTAAGCAGCAGCAGACTACAGCAGAAGTATCTCTGGGACTTGGCTTGAGAAGTATTGTGCCCACTATGTACTTAATATTGAAGAGGGCTTTGTGAAGACCATCACAGTGGGCTAGAGGGGATGGTTTCTCTCCCCCCCACACACACACAGGTGTAAAATATGTCTCTTAAATGGCCTTTATGCTATTCAGATTCATGAACAATTTCACCCCAGAAAATCTGAGATATGCATCCAGTGAACAGATTTTTCACAGGCTGGTGGTTATAGCAGCCTCTGTGTACTACTACAGGGTATCCAGCCTTCTGGAATTCTCTGCTGGCCTAGAAGGTGGTTGTACTGATGGTTCTGTTCTCTGAGCCTTCCCACCTGAGATGTAGAGGAGCAACTTCCCAAGTACCTTTAAAAACAATTTCTTTGGTGAAGTGAGAAGAACCTCAGCACTCTGTAGAAGAACCCGCTTAGAGAACTCAGTACCAATCAAGCATCACACTTTCACAGCCACTAGGCAACAAACTTTGCATTTCCAGCCCCCAGGGTACAGAGATGATGGTCAAGATAGTCACCGCTTCCCTTACAAGGCAATCTCCGGTCCCTCACAGACACACTACTTTAAAGCTCATGTTGAGATTTCACATCATTTGGGAAACCAATAATCTTCAGAAATGTTTTTCCCTGACAGAAAATGAGACTTTCTTATCCATACCCCTCATTATTTTATAGCATGGCTTATAATAAACCATTTATTTTTGTAGCATGCTTTTCAAAAACAAAAATAATCTATTTCTACCTGTCTAGGGCCTAGATCTGCTTTATATAGCAGGAAAGATTAAATCATCAACTTTCTCATAACCTGGCTAACAATGGAAATGTGTCCAGGCTTCAAATAATGAGTTTTTTTTTTGTGGTAGAGTAATATAAAATTAAAATGGAAAATATATTTAATACTAAGCTTTAAAAAGAAAGAAACTACTACCATTGCTGTGTCTTTTTTTTTTTTTTTTTTTTTTGAAGACGGCATACGAGATGTTGCGGCGTGACTGGAGTTCAGACGTGTGCTCTTCCGATCACATCAGCTTTTAGGAGACATTCCAGATCCA